GATGGGGACAATTGACACGCCCCCGCCAGGCTGCCCACAGTGGACAGAGATAGGAGAACCCGGAATTTTCAGACCATCAACATTGGAGAACAGCTGGTTGCACATGCGTCTGTCAGGCAGATGACGGACGGACCGCGTCTCCGTGGACTTTGTCTTCTGTATTGTCTTGATACCCGGGCAATGTTGCTTCACGAGGTCGGAGGCATTATTCCACGCCCATGGTCAGATTCCATATAGACCCTACCTAGGTATCTCTTCACAGTACTCTATTTGATTCGTGTCAGTAAGTTCCCTCTATTGCTGCCCCTTGCGAACAGCAGCGGCCCAGATTAAGTTGATGCGTCCGGGCAACCCGTCGCCGATCTGCCCCCGGTTGCACCAGATGCGAAAGAAGCCCACTTGCCATGACACCTTGCCAGAAGAGCCCCCAGAATCAATGGAGCCCGTCTTCGCTGTCTCCCGATGCCCACATTATTCCCACCGCTGTCCCCTAAAGATGATGATGATCAAGGCGGCGGGCTCGGTCCCCTCGTTTCAAAAAGAAAAATGCCCGATTGGCCTGGCCTGACACGTTCACAACCTAGCCTCGAGTGCCGCCTCCATCGCCCCGTCGCGATCGTCGCGCGGAAAGGGATTGAGGGAAGCGATAGCGACCGCACGACGTGCCTCGTGGGGCCCTCCGAGCCAACTCGAGGAAACAGCCAAGGAGAGATCCACCCGGGCACCGAGCTCCCCTTTCATCAAAGGTAAATCCTCCCGCCGAACGAATCGCTCGCGTGCCACGCCCGCAAGACCGTCGTCATCATCATCACCATCATCATGATAACCAGCACCGGGGATCCCCCCCTTCCCCACCCCTCTCCTCCCCACAGAACAAGAGCTTGACGAGCCCTTGTTTCTGTCTACTTGGTGGGACACAACCGACTCGCGACCGGCACGCCAAGCTTCGGGGCTCTGGGCCAAGCACGGGGATTATTCCTGGCAACCCCCCAGAGCAGCGCCGCCCCCAGCCGCGCCTATGCGACTGGCTCGGGCCCCGAGCGCTGCGAGCTTGAGGTCCTCTCATTGAAACAACCCTTCTTGCCTGTGAATCAGTTGCTCGCCTTGGCACCGCAACACGGGTCTTCCGAGTTTCTCTGCACACCTGCCAATTGCGATGCACGACGTGAAAATCATACCGCCGGCGGCCCAGACAGCTTTGACAGGCGCCGCGGGCCGAGACATTGACAGGCATGTCCATGAGCATGATTTAATGCACAGTACGGATACTGGGGAGAGCGACCAGTAGGTAGTACAGCAGCACTACAGCATAATGACCTGCATGAACCATCTCAGCCGCAGTTCGTCACCGGCCACGACATACGCAGCGGGCGGCACAATCTTTCCAGGACGGGCCGCCGCCCGTCGAGCCGTTTTTCTCGGGCCCAAGCAAAGCCAAATACGTGCCGGTCCATACAGTCGCAGGGGGCACATGGATAGACATGGGAATTGGGTTTGCTCGGCGCGCGTTCGGTGCTTTTTTTTTTTTTGGTACGCCCTCAACCCCTTGGCCCGCATTTTTTGTTTTTTGGCATCCTGAAATCTGGCAGTCTCAAGTGCTGGCAGTCTGCACACAAAACTTGAAAGGCACGCGGATGCGCCTCTTACCACCAACCACCATCACCCCCAGCGCCAACTGCCCACATTGGGGTGGTCCAGGTACAAACGCGCGGTTGGTGCCTCCTTGGACTTCGGGGCACACTCTTTTACGTATAGGCGAGCGCGCAGGCAGGCTGTTGGTGTGACTCGCAGCAAGAGATGTGGAGAGTCAGACCCACCAGGCCCAGCCCGGTCGTCCAGTTCACAGCCTCCTCCGGTCGCAAGCGGCGTTGCTATTCTAGGACGTGTCGATATATCGGGAGTTTCTGTGTGGCGCAGGCCAACATGCAGGTAGTAGCGACATGAGGAGCTTCACATTGCATTACCTGTTGACGCACAACCCACCGGGTAGCACATATCACCCTGGGCTGGCCGGTGATCTGCGTCGTTGGAGGAGGTTGGGATGGACATTCCACAAGACGCGGATGTTGGCAGATAAGAGCAGGTTACCTAGGTAGGTCAGGCCAGCCCCGACCCCCAGGCCAGGGAAAGCAACAGTACTGTGGAAAAAGGGTCTTGCATTCTGCGGTAGCAAGAGTTTCTAATCAAGGCCATCCCGCAATGATCTTGTTTTTTTTTTGGGGGGGGGGGTCGTCACATAGGCGAGGCCCTTTGGCGCAATTGAGGTTGCGATCTGCCGCCGGCTTCCCCCTGATCCCAAGGTGGGCTGGCTGACTGACTGAATGACGTGAACTGTGCTGGACTGGTGCACGGATCTCCTCTCTTCTCTTGCGCATGTAAGATGATGAGGCGATCGTCGCGGCCAGAAGGGGAAAGTGGACGGTGCCGGGGAGGTGTTGGCAAGTACATGCAGGTCCGGCGGCACTCCCTGAAAGTCCCCGGCAGCACAGCTCAGTCAGCTGTCTGTGTGCGTGCGTGGGTGTGCGAGGTAGAGTCTAGGGAGAGAGTGTGCGAACATCATTGATGAATACGTGCGCGCGTATGAGAGCTGGTGGGGCTGTGGAAGGAAGGGAGGGGGGGTGCGGCTCGATGGGTGGACCGAATTTGTGAGCAGCAATCTTCGCGAGCCCGGTCAGGGACTTTTAACTGCCACTGGTGGTGGTTGGTCTCATCTCCTGATCCGGCTCCGAAGCACAAGACGGCACCGGATATGTGGCCGGCGGGTTCTTGGCATCCACGAGCTTTTGTGATAATGGATGAACGGCTGATAGACTTCGAGTTATTCAGACTATGCCAGTGGTGTATTGCAGTAGTCAGTGATCGACCGGGTCTGCATCAGGACACCTCAGTGCTGGATAACTGCCAGTGACTGCCTCATCACGACCAAGACGAACTGAGAGAACGTACAAGCACCCTAACCCTCTATCTGGCCTTTTGAACTTTTTTGTTGGGTTTGCTCCCTTACAGAACCCGCATGAACCGGACATTGACGCGTCACCATCAATGCATTGCATAGAGTCCATGCCGAAGCACAAAACTCTCCTATCACGAGCATCGAAAAACGCCCGTTGTCTCGTCTGCAATATACAAGACGGCCCCCACCAAAATGGAACAATTCTAGAAGGGCCAATTCACCGACGGCGAGGTCGCCCAAGTGGGGAACCGCAGGGGTGGGGGGGTTGCAAGCGAAGGACGTCAGAATAATTAATTACATTAATATTGGCTTAGGCGATCTGCAACGGCAGACGCACCGCACCAGCTCGTGGAAGGAGAAGGAGAGGAACCTTCCACATGGAGCACGAGCACAGCCCACTGATGAGCAGCGAGCAACAAGTCTAGTTGGGACAGGCTGGCTCGAACAGCCCATGTGGAGGCGGCTGCTTTGCGTGGAGTCGTGGGCTCGTAATGCGAGCGGCGAGCCACAATCCCTGCTTCTGCCGCGCAAAATGGGCAGCCCGGATGAGCATCTAGGTAGGTTGTTTTGTTCCCACCAGGGGCTTCAAGCGAGAGTTGCGTTGATCGGAAAATCATTCGACCCTGTACATTACAGTACTAGTGTATGTACAAAGAGTTATGGGAGTAATGTGTGCGTGCTCATGCTCATGACAGCCCCCCCCTCCCTCTGGTACATACAGTCACCCCAGATGTCATTCATTTCCTGGAACTCAACCCGCAAAAACAAGAGTCATTCATCTATTGCACCTAATGCCATCGACCGAGATGGTGCAAGATAGACTTTCGCCCTCCCACAGGGGCATGGAGATACTGTGTACATTGGACGGGGTGAGTTGGTTACATAGTTAGTCAGTCAGTCCCTCAGTCAGAAGAAATCAAGTTCAGCCGGCAAAGCGTCGGGGAGAGACCAAGACCCCGGGCAGGTCGACCACCGCGTCGTCGGCGCGTTACGAGTCGCGATATTAAGCTTACTCGCCCCCCCTTTCTTGGCGGCCAGCACAACGACGCAGACAAAGTGGGGGGTGGGCATGGCTCTCCATCCCATCCCATCCGAACTTTTCTTGGCAGGTACTGTGTGCGCTCCCCGAATCAGAAACGGTACCTAGGTAGGGAGGGAGGGACTACAGAGTACGTGGGCGGGACAAAGGGAGGCAGAGTGAGATGGGGCCGCCCCCTCGTAAGAGATGGCTCCAGGGCGAGGACTACGATGACTGACTGACCACAGCAAGCAAGATGCTGCATCTGGGGGGCGCCCGCCCGCCCAATACTACCTAGGTAGTATAGTAGCCCGCCGAAAGAGCCGCATCTTCGGGATCGTGTGTAGATAAGCCCGAGGTCCCAATCAGATAGGCCACCCGTCCACGCAAACACCCACCCGGGATGTGGGCGACTCGCGCACCCAAGCCATGCCCCTCTACGCGTCCCACGGATTTAGGTGCTCTGGCGCGTGAGGGAGGGCAGATGGAGCAGACGAGGACCATGCCACTGGCACGGGGCGGACCCAGAGGAGAGACCAAATAATTATTTTCTTAATGTTTTTTAACCGCGTCAAACCTCGGCCACAGGGCTGACGACGAAAATACCGAGGCAGTGGGAGACTAGGAGTTAACGGAACAGCATTAGAGCAGACGTACAGGTCGGGCGCATGGAGTGGATAATCGATGGACCACCCCCCCGACCTCTTCCGTGTTGCCGGATTCCGGTGACGACGACTTTTTGTTCGTGACGTCCTCCCTTGGTAACCAGGAGACCCGTGCGGAAGCATCACTCGGATCGGGCGTAGGATGAGTTGGGCTGGTCAGTCCGAGGTGAGTCTGAGAAGTATGGGAGGCCGCTTTCCTCTCTTCTCGTGGGCGAGCGCATGGATGAGCTAGGTACGGGTGGTTCCAGGAATGGCAAGACCGATGATGGCGACTGAAGGATATAATGACCCCTTGCGAGAGGGAACCGGATCTCAGTGAAGCACACACAATCACTTGACAGACACACGTGGGCAGAAACGAAAGTGACAACAAAATAGCTCCAGTGTTCGCAAAAGCTATCTAGGCTGGGTGAGAGTGATCACACCAGCTGATGCTACCTAAAGTGCATATATCCGCCTTGGTGGCAGTCCCACCGATATCTTCCTTGGTATTTCCTCCGTGACGCCGCTTCCAGTGGTACAAACCTGCTGGAAAATGTTGGACCTGACCATGCCTTGAATTGGAACATGAAAAAAATTGAACAGTATCAAAGATAGCCCCCCAAATCCGTACCGCGAAGGAAAGCAGAGAGCTTTTCGCTGATTCCAATGTCGACGCCGTAACAATGCAAATGACCACCCTTTCCCAGCTCCCAGGTCACCATGCCCGATATTCTGTGTGCTCGCTGGAGCCCCTTCCGCTGATACAAAAATCAAATGGAGAACTTCTTGTTGAGAACGTCCAAGGCTCTGGCGTCCTCGTGGAAGCCCTTTGCCATCAACCCTGCGGCGGCACCGCTTCCCATGGCGGCACTGCTCATGACACCGCTGCCCATTGCTGCGCCCGCCCCGCGTGGGCTGCTTGTCGCACTGTTGCTCCCTGCTGCGCTGGTTGGCTCCGAGTTCGATGGCGTCGGGTTCGGGTGTAGCAGCGCCGACAGGCTGGCCTTGTTACCGTTGGCGTTGGGCGGCGACTGTGACAGTGCGCGAGGCGGTGGCGTTGAGGCATGTACCGAGGGAAGAGGCCCTGGCATCGTCCTTCCGGGACCACCGCCTGCCTTCAGCTGGAGGTGTTGCAGACGTGGCGACTCGTCGTTTATCCTGATCTGCGCCAGGTGAGGTGACCTGTGGGGTGGCCCTTGGCTGTAATGTGGCAGCATCGACGGGGTGACCCTTGGCTGCGAGGCGGATCCCGGCGGTGGCAGCTGGGGACGGTCGAAGGCAGGATGCGAAGGAGGTGGCCCTGGGATGTAGTGGTGGGGATGACCGTGGTGGGGAGGCGGGTATGGAGCGCCGGCCGATGGAGGTGGTGGCGGTGGGGGAAGTTGCGTTGGCGGGTAAGGAGCCGACACCGTGTAGTGGCTGTAAGGCGGCGTCGCGACAGGCGATGGCGGCCAGCCTGGGTATGGCGACTGTTGTGCGTATTGTGGGTGGTATGCTGCTGCTGGGTGTGGTGGTGCTGGAGCGTATGCCGACGCCATGGGTGTCCTGGTCATGGCAGGGACGGGCTGCTCGTTCATGCTCGACTCTGGGTACATGCCCTTGACGGGCACGATGTGCCTCAGGCTGGGGTCCGAGCTGGGTTGTGGGAGCTCTGGCTCGCTGGGGTGTGGGCGCGAGAAGTATGAGATGAGGTGGAGGTGCTGGCCCTGGGAGGTGGTGATGCTGAAGGACTGCTTCATGAGGCCGTCGGCCTTGTACCGGTACCCGTCGGGCTCACCGTCGTCGTTGTCCTCGTCGCTGCCGCGGCCAGAGTCTGGTGTCTTGCCGGCACTCCTCCTCGATGCGCCGAAGCCACCTCCACGCTTGCCTTCCATTTCCCGGTAGGTGAGGAAGCTCCCCGAGACCCTGCTGGCGCTCCATGACTTCCCGTCTGTCCACCTGCGCATGCCGGCCTCCCTCTCGTCCCAAACGAAGACGGACCCGGACCGGATGGACTGGCGCTCCTTCTCTGATAACCTGCGCTGCACACGGGGTAGCAGGCCGAGCCTGCAGGCCTCGAATAGTTTGATGGCGTCTGCGGGAGTCCGCACGAGACCGTGGTATGTTTCCATCATGTTATTCTGTCGCACAGCCATGGGATGTGAAGGCTAGGCTGGAGGGGTGGTTTGGTGGTTGGTGAAGTGGGAGAGACAGACGTGTGGGAGGAAAAAAGGCCAGGACCCAGCAGTGTGGCAGGCTGCTCAAGTTCCTAAATACAAGTGCAACCGAAATCTAGATGGCCCCCAGATCTGCAGGGTGGGCCCGCTATTCGAATCGAGAAAAGTAACTTTTAAAATATGGTTGTCTGGATAGGGTACCAACACCCTGTCCTGCAACTCAGGAGGAGCGAGGCTTGCGCGGCGCTATGTCAATCGCCCCACCGGGAGGAGTAACCCGGCTGATCGGCCTTTGATTGGCGTTGTTGCGCTGTGATGTGCGGTTGGGCAGGGGCTGCGTGAATATGAAGGGGGGAGGGGGGCCGGACGCAGTGAGCAGACCCTCTCTGAATCCGAGGGAGGCTGGCTGGCCGAGGGTGTGAAATTTGGTGTGGAGGGGGTCCGTGGATCCCCTTGGTATTGCTGTTTCCTCTTTCACGGACAGTGATGTTAGTCCCGGAAGATCTTCAGAGTAGTCGAGATGCGATTGACGATGACGCCAATTGGATATCAGGGAGCGAGGTTGGGAGGTGCTTAAAAAAGAAACACGAGAAGAGAAGAAGAAGAAGCAGACGACAGACGACAGACGAGAGCAAAAGAGGGTAGCGTATGGGTGACGACACAATGGGGATTCGGAGGGGGGGAGGTGCGATTCATAAAAAGTCTCAGACGTCCCAAGAAGCCGGTGGGACTGTGTGTCCTTCGAGACGCACGGGGTGACAGGCTTCTCTGATGGCAGGATGGGACGGCCGGGAAAGCTTGGCCCTTTGCGGTTATGAAGCTGAGAGCAGGCATGCGGCATGCGTGTGCAGTGTTTTGGGCGCACATCATATATATCCACCATAGTACGGAGCAAAGACGACAGGCAGCTCAAGAGGCACAGGCACCACTGTTGGAACAGCAGGCCCATTGCCCCAGTGGCCCCCGTACACACGAGGTCTGCTGGGAATAACAATACGGCGCAGGCACAGGCGCAGGCACAGGCTCGCTGGTCTTGGCCCTGCTATCCCTCTTCCTTGCAAAGGGACGGTGCTAGGCTCGTGGTAATTCCGAGCCAAGTACCAGGTAGACTCCTTGGTGCCAATGCCAAGCCGTGTGCCCAGACCTAAAAAAATGGGGCCGGGATGAGTGAGGATCGTATGCAGTCAGGCAGTCAGGGCAGTCCGCCCGCGGGTACGGTGCCATACAGTACCAAGTACGGAGTACAGTACGGTACGGTGCGGTACGTACATATATGACAGGGCGCCACCCCCCAGGCCCCCCAGGACCCCCCCAGGGCAAGGTTGAGCTTGTCTAGCTTGCCCAGTCAGGGCTGCCATCACCCGAGGTCCCATTGAGGGCATAACTAACTCATCCGCCCAGGCAGCCTGGTGCCTGGTTCGGTTGGGTGTGGATATTCTTTGATCCAGAGCCCTCCCAATCCGAGGGGCCCATGGTCCTTGCACGGCTCCCGAGATTTGGGTGGTCGGTGGACGCGTGGGTATAGTACCGAGTAGTGTAGAAGCCAGGGAAGAAAAGGGACAGAGGGGACCAGAAAATAAAGGGGCGGTGACGAGGGTTGGCCTGGCCATGCCTTGCCGTTTGGGCGCAATGATGTGACAGGCGGGAATAAGATCAAACATAAAAAAAAGAACATCATCGACAGGTCCAAATAAATGACCGAGAGGCCGAACCAACAGCACATGGGCGTTGCACACGGCATCGGATGTGAGTGGGTAGGGGTGTGGATATTGGCTGGCGCGGGCAGCACCAAGGGGGATCGTCATTGTCATTGTCATTGTCACTGATACTGTCATGGAGGAATGGCCGAAGGGGTGTGGGATAGAGATGACAGAGGCAGGACCCATCAGACCAGACGAGCTGACTCTTGTGTGCTCTGCTCAAGGCAGGCAATGGCCGGGCAGGGCTGGACAAGTGAGCGTGTGATGTGACTTGATTTGATGCGGATGTGGATGGAGGATGACTGATGCGAGTGCATTTGCGATGGGTCGGACCAGACCAGTCACTTCTGCTTACTGACTGACTGACTGACTGATTGATTGATTGCTCCCATCCTCACCCATGTGTGGGCCGTCGTGTGCCCGGCGGCGTGTCAGGGAACCCGTTGTTGAGCCTCATCTCATCTCACTGATCTCTGTCCCGGGACCAGGGCCAGGATCGGGAGCGCAACACAGCTTTGTATGCACACCCGCTGCGACCTGCGTCTCCCGTGGGACTCTGCATGATGGATGATGCGTGCGAGGGCGAGTGCGAGTACGTGTGTGCCTGAGGCTGACTGTTGGATGTGATGTGGCGCACTCATCTTTTTGTCCTCAGCCCATCTTCTGCCCTGCCCTGCCCTGCCCTGTTTTAATAGACCTGGCCTAAGCCGAGCCGAGCTGACCCGACCTGAGTCGGTTCCCACTGGGGATGCAAGGCAAGGCCAGGCCGGGTCAGGCCAGGGCTCAGGGGGTGGCGGGATGGGGCAGGATGAAAACCATGCGATGGTGGCAGTTGGGTGCGGGTTGGTGCAGTGTTTGGTGGATGCAGCAGCAAACGAAGACATCAATCAAATAGGTTACGTACGCGTGTCTGTCGAGACGGGGTGTCTCCGAGGCTGGTTGGTTGGTGTTGTGGCTCGCCGGTCGTAATCGGGCGCGAGAGAGGGCGGTTTGCAGTCGGCGATCCAGGGTCGGGTGTCGCAGAATTTAAGGTTAAATTCAGGTTATTTTCGGACACACGGCAAGCGAGAGCCAAGTGCCTGTGTCTGCGTGCGTCTGCGTGCAGACCAGTCAGTACCAAGTTGGCAGCTGCTGCACATCCAAATGCAGTCAACAAGAACAAACAAATCCCTGATCACAGGAAAACATGAAAAATAAAAAGATCAAAAAACCGCAACGGTCGGTGGAAGGAACCTCGGGAAGAGGTCGACGGCACCAAGGCTAGCTTACCTGGGTAGCAGGTAGCCGGTAGTCAGCGTGTACCTTTGCACTCTGCGGTGCAGGCACGGTACGGCACGGGTACGCGGCTAAGTGGTGGGCCAGACAGGGTCGTGTCAGGAAAGAGCAAAGAAGCTTGGCTCAATCCCTAGGCGGGCTTGGTCTGATGCCTCTAGATTAGTGCCGTCCTTTTACTGGAACACAATCGGTCGGTCGCTCAAGCGTTGGGGGTCTGCGCATCCGCACTTGGGGCTGCAGGGAGATGGTCCTTTTTTTTTTTTTTTTTTTGGGAGGAGAGGTGGGAAGGGGAAGGGGGTTCTCGGTATCGACCCACATTCGGATCCCTCGAAACAAAAAGGCTGGTGCAAGGTGGGGTCTTTGCTGAGTGTTTAAAAATAAGAACAGGAACACGACGAATGCGGCAAAAAAAAAAAAAAAAAAAAAAAAGAAGAAAAAGAGCAAGATGAGTACGACTGGCACTGGCGTGGCCTCAGCAAGGGAGAAAGACAGACAGACGTGTAGGTCTGTCTGGACGATCTGGGCCCTGGAATGGCTTGTGGCTAAGGCTAGGAGGTGCCTGGCTGGTGCTGATGTCGGTGGTGGGTGGTCATGACATGAAGGGGAAATCACTATTGCTCATCCTCTCTCATCTCTCTCTCACCCTCTCACTCACCTGGCGTCGTGTGTTTGCCCGATCCAGGCCTGTTCTCCGTCGCCACCGGCACAACTGGCTGTGCCTCGACAGCTCGAGTGGCCGACTATTGTTGGAGCGACTGGGAAGATGCTGCAGGCCGCTTGATGCAGCGTGCAGCCAACAGCCAGCAGCCAGCAGCCAACAGGGCGCCTCTCAAGCCAACCTGCCAACCCAGATGTAACCCGGGTTGTCGGTCGAGTCCACCAGGTCGAGGCCCGGCGGGTGCCGATGCTTCCAAAATAGTCTCGTCGTCTTTTGGTCAACTTCTTCAAGGTCTCGGTTCCTTCTCGCAGATCCTTGTCGCTTGTCTGCCTGACTTGCCGAGCTGACAACCTCTGGCCGGTTTCGGCTCCTCCTGTCCTTCTGGCGGTCCTTATTTTCTGACTACGCAGCCGCTTTCTTCTCCTCGCCGCCTCAAGAGTGGCGTGTGCTCGGTCTTGCCTTGGGTCTTTGTGTGGGTGGGTGGTTCGACTTGCCCTTGCCCTTGCCCTCCCTCAACTAGTTCTCCTTGCGGGCAGTGGGGGCAGACGTCGCCGGGTGTTTGTTGACGCAATAGTCTGGGGAAATTGTAAGAAAACAAAAAAGAGGGAACGGATCCACAGTCCAGGCCGTGCTTGCGCGCGGCGGTCTGGCCTGGGCTGCTTCTACACACGAGATATATAATATCAAACACGGAGTATTTCCACCGCCCGGGCGCTATCCACGTCCCGGCAATCGGGTTCAGGCCAGAGCCAAGTCTTTGTCTTGAATCTCTTGGACAAGAACTTGGGATGACTCGGTCCCAGCAGCAAGCGTCAGCGCCAGGGCCGGAGCCAGCCAGGCGCAGTGAGTCAAAATGGCGAATGCGAGAGAAGATCGAGGCTGTGCAGAGGTCTCGCGGCACCTCTGTGACCAGGACAAGAGATACCAAGGCGCTTCTAGGTAGTCAGGCTACCACAGTAGTCTTGGGGGCCCCTCCGGGCACTTGGGGCTCGAGACGGGATGTCGACTTGGAGGTCAAGGACAAGTCTTGACTTTCTTGGCACAACCTCTCTTTTGCTCATCAACCCCGGTATCTTGCTCAATGCCGTGCAAACTCTGTTGGCCCCCTATTTTTCCCTTTTCTCGATCCTTTCCTTTTTGTGTTTATTTTTCAGACCGCTGGTGCAAAGTCAAATCGTAAGCCGAATGACTGACTCTCCTCCGTCCGCCTGGAAAGAACAAGGAGACAGGGCTAGAGCCAGAAAAATAAGTTCAGAGAGTTAGTTTCGATACGCCGTGTCCGGCCTGAGCCTGGGCCCGCCGCCGTCAACCAGGCCCCTCAAAGCTTGAGGGCCGCGCGCTACTTCCGTCCGGGCTGCACGGGTCCTCCGCCGGAAAAGGGGGACTCGCTGCTAGTTTTAGAGAGGGCACACCTGGCTCGACTCGCGGGTTACAGTTTGAAACGTCCTGAACGTCAAAAAGCTTGGATTCGATCTTCACCAAGATCCTCGCCAAGGGAAAACCTTATTTCTTGGTCCGGTCTTCTTTGGCCGGGCTAAAAACAGCAGGGCGCGCCGCCACCCGGATCAGAACAGAAATAGTCGGCAGTAAAGAGGTGTGTTCATAATGACCACTGTGGGAGGGAGCTGGTGGCTGTGCGGGCTCACCGCTGGCCCGGTCTTGTGATAACCCTGCACTGCCTGGTGACAAGAGATGAGCGGTCGAAATAAGGTTGTTATTAACCTCCCTCTTGCACCTCCTCCGAAATGGGCATTAATTAAGCTTACCGTAGGTCCAATACCCAGCCGAGAGCTGCCTTCGCTTCGCTTCGCTCCCACCCTCATGGGGCCAAGAGCACACCCACACACCGCGCTGTCACTCACTCACACTTACCAATGCACACTCACGCAGACGCAATCGACTGTTCGCGATCGATGATGACGTTGTTGTGAATTTCGTAGGCTCATGTCCTCCGTCTCGGTTCGCTCGGCTCGGCGCTGAACCTTGGGTGGATGGCAAGATGGGTACGCCCCTTCTGTTGGAGCCTCTTGGCCCGTAGCTCAAACTCAAAAAGGGAGTTTGCGGTCTGGCTCAGTTCTCGGCGCCGTTCGTCCTATCCTTTGGCCCTGTCCTATCAAATCTTGTGTTTTGACGACGGTCGATACCGGATGCCAGTGAAGCGGTTGATCTCTACTACTAGTGGGGCCCTTGTCGTCTCAGCCAGGCGTGCCGGGAACGCTGAAGAGCGGCATGCAGCTGGGGGGCTGGGCTGAAGTGTTTCTCCTTTCAAGTGTGTGTGATTTTCTTAGCAAATAATGAGTCAGTGCAGGGGAGAGGAGCAATTGGATAGGCAATGGTATACTACGCAGCCCATGCAGCCTGATGGGGATGACGCCTGCTCAGGCGACGGGGACAGCAGCACCCCCAAAGACAAAACCGGAATGCGGGAAGCGAGGAAGCGCATGAAGCGGCTGAATGGCTGGCTGGTCTGCTATTGCTTGGCCTCGTATCGGCTTTTCTCTGCCTGCTCTCGGCGGGGAGGCCCCTCCTGATGAAAGCATGGACGAGACAACACAAGCGTGGGGAGAGGCAGCACCGGCAGCAGCACCAACAGCAGGGCATCGCGGAGGCCAAGACGACTGGCCAAAGAGGGAGCGTCGGTGAAAGTGAACGGCCCGGCGCCACGTTCAAAGCAGCCCACCACAGGCCTAGGCACGGCCTCAGGACGGGCTCAGAAGGGGGTACCAAGACTGCAAGAACCAGGCCAAGCACGCGCGATCAGCAGGGGCCAAGAAAACCAAGCAAACCAAGCAAAGTGCCAATGCTGTGGCCCAGCCTGGGCGGCATCAGGAGCAATCTGCTGGCCGCCGCCCCCCCCCGGGTCCCGAGGTGATTTGTCCTTGTGTACTGTGTAGCCGGGGCCTCGGCGTCTCTGAGCGCTGCGCCGTGTGTCCTGGTTACGCAGGAACGGTACTTTGACTCGACAGGGCAAGACATGACATGACATGACATAACTATAGTCTGACAGGACTAGACTGTGATCCGGGGGGGGGGGTTGTGCCACATAATTTCCGCCCCTTCAATGCCAGTCTTGGTATGGGCGTGGGAATTACACTAAGCGGATGCGACAAGACAAGACATAATCAGCACCAGTAGAAGGGGATCAAAAAAAAGACAAGGGGCTTGGCTGACGGTGCCGGGCTTGACGTGGGAATATGGTTTAATTTCAAGCTTATTTTCCCCTAACAGGCGCCGCTGGCCATGCCCAGGGCCTAGCTCGACGCCTCTCTGGATCAGATGGTACCCTGAGCCCTCTGCCAAGAGGTGCTAAGGATAACCTTCTTTCTGTCTCCCAGCCAGTCGGACTGAGGTCACCCTTCATTGGGTGGGCTACCTGCTGGCTCATGGCCCTCGTGAAGAATCCCAATGATCCTTTGGGGGGACCTGTTTCTCACCTGCCTGTCTGTCTCGATCGCTCCCAAGAGATCCCAAGATGATAGTTCCTGTCGGGTCCTCGGGTTCTTGTCCTCCCTTCCCCCATGATGGCCACCTAGGCATGCAAACCTTTTTCTCTGTTTTCATCTCCCAGCCATCCGTATTCGCGTGGGCATGACCCGCGCATTCAAGTTCGGTCAGCCAGTTGACATTGGCCATCATGCCGCGTCGACTAAGACCACGCCCCTCATCAATGCACCGCAGAGGTCAAGGCGTTCGTCGATTTCTTGTACCTCCCCGCGTATCCGTGACGCTGTGGTCGTCCGGATATCGCTGGAGAGGTCGAGATCGATGAGGCCGCAGCTCTGACGGCTGCCTGCCTTCCCGCTTCGGTACCAGCGATCCCCCAAGCATACAGAGACGGTAGATAGTTAGAGAAGGCCCTTGCTCGAGGATCCCGTTTGCCTCTCACAATCCTTTCGAGGATGCTGTGTAAGAGCCACAAAGTGGCAGCCTGGCCCTATCTTACAATGGCCAGACATTGATACACACAGAGCCGATCCTTGGGGCCGTAAGCACGCCATCTCCTCCCCCATCCGGAAACATGTTACGAGCGGGAGGATGAGTAGGATTACACGTTCCTGAATAGAACTGTCATCGAAGAACAATCGGGAAAGACTAATCTCACGGGTGGCGGGACTGTGGGCTTCGCAGGATCTATCTAGCCTCGTTCTTGGATCCCATCTCGGCCCTACTTGCCCTGCCCTGCCAAGCGTTGTTGTTCGCTACCTTATCTTGTGACGCCGGACTTCCATCCACCTCATCGTTGGATCAAATTGGCACAGATCATTTCTTCTCGACTGTGTCCCCCTTTTTTGCAATAGCAGTGCGGTCACGGGGCAAAACGCATAGCATGTGGCGTCCCATAAGGCCAAGCCGATGGCTCAGCTAAGATTTTAGGCTCAACCACTGGGGGTCGGAACCCCTTACCTAGGTATTATTGCCAATTGATGGCCAGGCGTCAGCGGACGGCGGAGACGGGATGAGGCAAGGTTTCCGAATACGGCAATTAACCTCTGGCACCCGAGACCTGAATGGTCCAGCTGTCCAGCTGTCCAGCTGGTCTCCTGGCACTTGTCGGTGCCCAGGTGGGTATTGTTCACGTGCACAGAATTATAGCTGCCGAGTCCTTGCGTTACTCTGGATCCTTGCGGGTTGCTATCTGTCCTCTATCCTCTGTCCTCTGTGCGCGTGTGTACGTGTGAGTGTGTGTACCAGTATCTCCACACTCGCGGAGTCACTGCAGAGGCAGCATGTCACGCAATGGGCGCTATCAAATCACAAATGCAGGCTAATCTAATGCCCCGAGATCAGCAACGTCACACCTGGCCGGTACGCCAAATTCACACCCGTTGCGCTCGTGAGGAGAGTTAAGTGCGACGATGCAACCCACAATGAACGGTCGCACCACGAGAGCGCGACCCCCCAGATGCCGAGCCGATTATCCGCGCGCTGCTGCTGCATCGATGATTTGGATTGATTGCAATGGCTGCCACATACGGAAAAGCGGCATACTGTGATATGTGGCTTTTGTATTGATGCTTGTACATTGGTGTTTCTTTCCTTCCCCTCCGCCATCTGTCTCTCTTTGCGACTCCTAAGCGGGCGGCGTCCTCGATGAGACGGCATGGTTCAACAGACAGGAGGGGAAGTCTTTGATGTGTGGCTGGCTGCTCAGATCGATCCTCTCGATGCTACGGGAAAAGCCTCTTGCTACGTTTCACCTCTCAAGAGGGTGGGAAGGCTTCGCAGCACATCGAGTTGTTTACTCGAGCTTCGTCCCGGATGCGGTCCTAAACGGCCATGCGCTCTTGACCTTGTTTGCCGTTGGTTCTCCATGGCACGAATGCGTTTCGGCCGTGGCGATCATGGTTGCCTCGCACTTGTGATGCTCATTCTCGACCGTGTCTACTTTGTCTAAAAAAACAGCACGTCTAGTACAAGCCGGCTGCGTTCGAACCCACATTGTCCCACCTCACATGCCAGGGATCTACTGCAGGAGGACTTCAAACAAGCAGGTGAACCAGACATGACGACACGCACGCACACGCACATCGTCCAACAGATGAGTGGAACCGCCTCCTCCCAAAACCGCACTGAGGCAGACGACGGCCCATCACAACCGGGTCTCTTGTACCTCAAGTGCTGTAGACCCACAACCTTTTGGCCCCCAAAGCAAGTTTACCGACTCGCCCACACCGGACCTGCCTGCCTGCCTGCCTGCTATCCACTTATTATTCATCCACAACACATAATCCACAGCATCCTCACATTTCCGTTCAATGAACAGGGACCCCCCGCCGAAGAGGACCCGCCGCAGCGGCCAGGGTCCCTAAAACGGAAGTGCCTTG